CTATTGGGTCCACAAATATCGCCACTTCCCATATGAACGCCAGTACTATATTAAAGGTCCGGGTGACCGATATGGGGCCGGGACTCTCATACTTAAACGCCATGGTCTGAAAAAGCTGGTTAAGTATGCCGGCCAACCCTATCGCCAACAGTAAGCCCCATGTCTTGAAGTCCTTGGGTATGACCCACGGACTCAGGAACGGTAGTATAATATTGCCGATTACTATGCAAGCTATTGAGTACCACATGACTATGACGGGAACGGGTGTTGTCTTGAGTTTGCGGAGGTTTATGAGCGAAAAGGCCGACGATATGGCGGATACCATGGATAGGATGATCCCGATTATGCGGTGATTATAGTTAGTCGTGTTATTGTTAGACCCAAACAGGAACTCGGGCCTACATATGATGAATACGCCGATGATAGTGATCGTACCGGTGCTCACGTGGACCACAGTTATGGGCTCTTTGAGCATAAAATAGGCGAATATTGTGACGAATACGGGGGACGACATGTACAGAGTGGAGGCGTCCGAGAGGGGCATCATTTTGTAGGCCATATATAGGGTGACCAGTGATGTGGTGCCGGTTAGGCACCGGAGTCCCAGATCTAGGCGTTGTCCCGGGAGACCAAAGAATGGGTACTTTTTGATGATTGTGATCACGAAGTATGGGATGAACTGAACAATACATCTATTTTATACAAAGATTGAAAGGTGTTTATTTTATTTAATAGTTAGCATAGAAATAACCTTTTTATTATCAGACATACAGTATCTATAAGTAAATTACCTTTCAAGTTTAATTAACTTTGCTAGTAAATAATTTTATAAAATAATATTTTGATTTGATAATAATTTTTACGAATTAGTTACAAATACTAAATACAAACTAACAAAAGGTTAAAAACTCATAAAAGTAAATATCTTAAATTACATGACATTTAAAAGTTGTAAAACCTAAATGAAAATGTTCACTTATTTCGTTTATTTTTATTAACATACTGTACGTTACATAATAAACATAAGAAATAGCACTTTACCTGAAAATTAGTATTTCGATTGCGTGCATATGTTTTATTAATTTCACTATTAGTGCGGCAAATGAAAACATGGTCACCCCTTTTATAAGAAAAATTAATTAATTTAAAAATTTGGCATAAACAATAATTTAAATAATTAATTAAAACATTACCTATTAAAGCACATAATATACCAAACGCCGGGATCCTATTTGGGGTATTTTGGATGAACCTTATAAAAGGATTACCTTCTGGACTGTCTGTTGGAGGTAAGGGATCGGCACTGATATCCTCATCATTAATATCGCGCTCATCTCTGTATGTTTTTGTATTCATATTATAATAATTATTAAATAAATTATTAATTTGTAACAAAAAATATAAATTAACTTAAAATAAATGACAAATAAATACAGTAGTAAGTAGTAAACACAATACAATTATCACAATACAATTAAATTAACAAATAAAAGAGATTTTGAAATAATCATACCTTAAATACTCATATTGTACTGGTATATTGGATGGCATAATGATATTAAATTAATTTGAGCGTACGATGAAGTTATCAATGATAATTATTAACTTAAAGATGTTTTATCAAGATGACAATTATATTTACTTAGACCGTATTATAGATTATAACAATTAAACATTGTTTACTACACAAATGTTATCAACCTGATAATATTGACTTAATTTGATAATTGAGGGTTTATGGTCCACAAATGCATATATGGTCATAGATTTTAATGATAATTTATCTAGTATGTTTAGTTACAAAAACGTTTTAACAAACAATTGAATATTTCATAATAATTGTGTAATTCTCTTATCCATAATCAAGCGCATTTAAACAAACTATCAAGATATTTTGAATGTCACACACGTTTTTAAATATTACACTGTTTTTCATGAAATATTATTATGTTAATATATGTTTTAAAAATAAAATATTTTCAGCATTAACAATAGGTCACTAAAATACACTGAAAAAATATAAGGGTAATTCATTTTAAACAATAAAATTAAATTTGTGTTTATAAATACTCATACACAAATAAATATAAATAAAAACAACATATTAAGAAACAAAATAATTTTTAAATAGTTACCTGTAATTGAATGTCATTTAATATTGCTATGAAGTGCACATATTTGAAATTATATGATATAAATTAAATTAAATTTTCATAAATGTTATCAAATATAAAATTATATATGCCATAGTACCGTAATTCAACAATTAAACAGTTTACTGTACTATGACAATAATCGAAATATATTTAATTTCATTGATAAATTTTAAATTTGATAGCAGATTATGTTATATTTATAGAAATTGATAAAATATATCAGCTATAGTTTTGATTGATATATTTATACACGTTTGTTGCTAACGGGGTTGTAGGTTTCACACAATTTTTAATACAAAAATGATCATGCGATTAATTTACAGTTAACTGCAGTGAATATTAGTTAACAACATTGATAACTACTTTACTATTATGACTCATAAGTTATGACATAAATTGTGCTATCATATGCTTAATTCTGTGTATAAAATAATATATTAAAATGTTATATTATTTACTGATTTACAAATAATTCAATATAAACACATTTGAATTAAAATAAACCTAACTTATTTTAATGTCAGTTAACGAAATGTTAATTTACTTAACAATGTGAAAATAAAAAAATTATTAGTACATTCAGTATAATATTATGAGTATTTATTCTCTAATGTCAATTCACTGAATTGAATTGTTATACTGTATTTATATGATGAACATATTTCCATCTAATGTTAAATACAAACATTATTTATTTTACCTTATAT